AGTTGAATAACATTTGAAGTAGAAGTGGTCCTCTTAGGTATTCGCCACTGTTAGTTGAATAACGTTTGAAGTAGAAGTGGCCCTCTGAGGTATTCACCACTGTTAGTTGAATAAAGTGTGAAGTAGAAGTGGTCCTTAGGTATTCACCACTGTTAGTTGAATAAAGTTTGAAGTAGAAATGGTCCTCTTAGGTATTCACCACTGTCAGTTGAATAAAGTGTGAAGTAGAAATGGTCCTCTTAGGTATTCACCACTGTTAGTTGAATAACATTTGAAGTAGAAGTGGTCCTCTTAGGTATTCGCCACTGTTAGTTGAATAACGTTTGAAGTAGAAATGGTCCTCTTAGGTATTCACCACTGTTAGTTGAATAAAGTGTGAAGTAGAAATGGTCCTCTTAGGTATTCACCACTGTTAGTTGAATAAAGTGTGAAGTAGAAATGGTCCTCTTAGGTATTCACCACTATTAGTTGAATAAAGTGTGAAGTAGAAATGGTCCTCTTTGTTGATGGATGCTAGAAGATAGATGAGTAACTAAATTGTGTCTTCTTCTCGTTCAGTGGTGGTGAGTTTCTCGTTTATCAACCCCAGGATATACAAAAGGTATCCCTCAATCTTTCAAAGAAGTAAATGTAATTTCTTTATAGCCATCATTACAGTTGAAATATAATAAATGTATATACAACGATGATATTTTTACACCGAACAGTAATATTCAACATGTTGACAGTTTACGGTGGGTAGTTGAAAAAATTATGTTTTATATATTAGAAAAAGTAGAATGTCTCGACCACTAATGCACTCATTTTGAAATACAAACAAAGAAATCAAGTTGGAATATCGTTATAATATTAATAGCAAAGTTTGTTTCGTTTGAAACTACACGAGAGCTATCTGCGTTAGCCGTCCCTAGTATAGCATTGATAGACTAGAGGGAAGGCAGCTAGTCAACACCACCCACCGCCAACTTTTGGGCTACTCTTTTACCAACGAATAGTAGGATTTACAGACACATTGTGACGCCCCCACGTCTGAAGGGGAGAGATCGTTCAATAATGAGATTCGAGCCCGCGACACTCAGATTTTGAGACGAGCGCCCTAATCACCAGGCCATGCCAGGCGTAATAGCCAAGTAGACGAGGCACGTTGTAACATTGTATTTTATGCATGATTCCTTGTTGTGGAAGTTATTAAGGACCCGTGTAGAAAATTGGTTACCGAATACAATTACCTTCAAGATGAACAACAAACACCTCCTGGAACCCAAACGAACAACATCTACGTAGATGTTGTTCGACATAACACCATCCTCATCATCTCAGCCAAATGGACATAAATTGCAAAAGGTTTTGTGGTTAGACGAGAGAAAAATTGAGCTTTTTTGTCTAAATTGATAGGGTTACGTCTGGAACAAGCCCAGCTCAGCACATCATCCAGTCAACACCATTCCAACTGTCAAGCATGATGGTGGCAGCATCATGTTATGGAGATGCTCCTCATCAGCAGGGAAGGGGAAGCTTATCAGGATTGAAGGGAAGATGGGGGGGGGGGGACCTGCTTGAATCAGCCAAGAATCTAAAACTGGGTTGAAAATTCACATTTCAGCAGAACAATGACCCCGAAGCACAAGGCCAAAGCCACATTGTAATGGTTTCAAAAGAAGAAAGTGAATGTCCTGGAGTGACCCAGTCGAAGTCCTGACTTGAATCCAAAGATAATTTTTGGAAAGACTTGAAGATTGCAATCCATCAGCGATCCCCAACTAACTTGTCAGAAATGAGACAATTTTATCAAGAAGAATGGGCAACAATTACACCATCCCATTGTGTAAAGCTGGTAGAGACCTATCAAAAAACACTCACAGCAGTAATTGCTCCCGAAGGTGATTCCACCAAGTACTGACTTAGGAGACTGAATACTTATGCAATTAGCTGACTTCAATTTATATATTTTCTTTGCTGACATTCAATCTCATTCACACATAGCAATGTTAAGTTTGATCATTAGAGTTTTGAATAAAAACAACATCATTAAAAAATTGTTTACATTTTTTGTATTTTATCAAAATGTGACATTATTGGTAGGGGTGGATACATTTGCAAGGCACTGTACATTGAGGACGGTTTCTGTGGTTTCACTTCCAAAGAAGAACTAACACGATTCCTGCAGCACTTCAGCAACATACGCCAAGGTATTAAATTTGCTGTAAAAAACTGAAATAAATACAAAATTAACTTTCTGAATGTTACCGTCATCCAATCATCCCACAGTTTCAGCAATAAGATTCACAGAAAAGACACACACACAGTAAAAACTACATTACTTCGTTTTACAGTCACACAATACACCATAAACCAGGCCCAAAAAAGGGTGTCATGTATTTAGCCTACACGTTTTGCATCAGTGATAACATCGATGAAGAAATTACGTACGTAACCAAATATTTTACAGGTCCTAACAAGGATAACAAGACAGTTTCATAACAGAGTAAATTATAACCCTGATAAGCTCAACACCACTGAAAATACAATATAACAACGGAACATATGACTAAAAGAACACCACAAACCTCCCTCACACAAATTGAATACAGTATATTTGTTTGTTTGTTTTGAATTTCGCGCAAAGCTACACGAGGGCTATCTGCGCTAGCCGTCCCTAATTTAGCAGTGTAAGACTAGAGGGAAGGCAGCTAGTCATCACCACCCACCGCCAACTTTTGGGCTACTCTTTTACCAAGGAATAGTGGGATTGACCGTCACATTATAAGGCCCCCACGGCTGAAAGGGTGAGCATGTTTGGTGTGACGGGGATTCGAACCCGCGACCCTCAGATCGCGAGTCGAGCGCCCTAACCACCTGGCCATGCCAAGCTCAGTACAATATATATATTCACACGTGATCGAGATATCTGAACAACTATATCTGTGTGAGGGGCCGGCCAACGTTTCTCGTCGTTTTCAAGCTTTGGGTAGTTTATAAGAGTGGTGATTAAATTCCACTATTTGATGAGAGTAACCCAAGAGTTGGCGGTGTGTTACGTTGACTAACTAACGTAATAGCCCTTATATAGGTTTGCGTGAACATACGAAACAAAAAACTTTGTGAGATCTTAATTTTTTGTAGGATGAAAGCTACCTGCGAAGACATCTTACTACACTATCTCCATCCCAACGAGTTTGTTGACTCCCCTGAATGGGAAGGATGTTCCTTGGACAGTGGTAAACTATATCAGGTGAGTTTTCCCCCTTACAAAGAGCTTTCCCTCGTATACTCTGATATTCCAAATAACGTTTTGTTACCATTCCAACTAGACAGATGAACATAACATGAAATGACAACAAGGGTCCTTTTGATCCATCTTGGCTGTCCTATCCAGTTAATTAAACTAAACACTAAAAAATTCAAAGCCAGCCCTTATCGTTCAATTTGAATAAATTAACCCCTACTCTCACACACCATCAACTTTTAATTCGAACGTATAGGGCAATAATACACTGTGAATACACACCACTAATACACACTATTAATACACAGTTTAGTTAGAACTAGTGGTATTCGTGTAACTTTTCAAATCTCCATTTTTAACCACAAAATTGCCGATTTGTTTTTATGTCGTTCAGTAATTTCTTTCCAGTCTCACACCAAGTTTTGTCGACTTTCTTTCTTTCTAGTCTCACACCAAGTTTTATTGACTTTCTTTCTTTCTAGTCTCACACCGAGTTTTGTCGACTTTCTTTCTAGTCTCACACCAAGTTTTGTCGACT